TCAAAGTCACCCATTCTTGCCCATCTCATTAGCAGGCAGCGGTCGCTCCAGATCTCAGACAAAAGCCAAACGCTCGCATCGCTTTCAATGACAAATATCATTCAACTGCATTTTCCTGTATTGATTTTTTTGTTGTTGTATACTTAATTACAGCTGCATGCACATTTTTAAATAACTGCAACTGCCTTTCTCGGTTCACTACGCAGAGGATTCCTGTTTTATTTTCCCTGTTATTAAAATCCCCAGTGAGATCTTTAAGCAGCGTTCCTAGAAAGCAGCTGGCAGTGACCCTCTGAAGAGGCGAGGGAAGGACATGGAACGCCAACAGAAGGCTTTCAGATCTTTCATGTCACTTGTTCTTTTTTTTTTTTTTTGCCTTTGTTACCAGAGTCAACAACACACACACAAAAAAAAACCTGTCTAATCTCACATGAGGATTCCTTTGTACGGCCACACAAACCCAGAAATGCACACTCACTCGCACACATTCACATTTGTTTTAAGAGAGCATAAGAAGAAGTGTTGGTGCAAGAAACAGACGGGATAGTTTCTCTTCATCTTCAAAGATGACTCATCGTAATCATCTCGTCCAAGCAATAAAAGATACTTCAGTGATTCACACACATGCACTCGGTCTCTCTCCAACACACACATACATATGGAGACGCATGCACACATACATCAAAGGCAGCATCACCTGCAGGTGTTTGAAGTGGCTCATATTGGGTTTCAGCCACTCCAAAGGAATCGAGGTGTTACCGGGGAAATGGCGGCTTGGAGGTGGGAACTTTGGCAACTTAAACCAAAGCATGGCAGCACTTCTTTTGAGTTCGACTATGAAGGAGAAGAAAAAAAAAAAGCTCACAAATTCCATCAGGGATTCTAACTCCTACTGGGGAATATTTCTCTCATGCGGTGCCAATGCGATGACATAACAACTATAACCGCCTTTGTGAGGGATGTTCATGAGTTATTCATAATGGAAGGTTAACACTCATTAATAAAGATTTCATGTCAGAAATTTGATGTCAAAACGGTAACGATGCCTTTTACAAAACGGGACAATTGCCGGTGATATTTCCATCAGGGTGTCAGTTACTTTGAGGATGATCTCTTGAGAAAACTCCGGCGGATTTTCTTACTTACACTTGTAGCCACTCCATCCGGATTCGGCGTCTGTTTACAGATGTGGATGTGAGCTCAGGCAGAAGATTTAGGGAAGCGATATGGAAATAGAGGATGAGGGCTTAGCGATGCAAACCTTAAGCCCTCCCAGTGCACTCCTGTGCGTCTGACTTCAATGACCGCAGCCCTGCAGAGAACATTTCTGCGCCTCAATATGTATGGAAATGAGAGGCAATCATGCTAACGCGCGTTCACTCTCTTTAAACATGCTAATGGTGTCCATTTCACCCCTCCCCACACCCTTTTGCCGTCGCTCTGTCTCTTCTGACCTGGAACAGGTGTGGCTTTAATTATGCATTAAAACATACGTGGGCCGAGTCCAGTCCACTTGACCGAGCCTCTCCTGCAATGTTGCATCCCTCCCTCTTTCTCTCTCTGTCTTTCTCTACCCTTTCTCCTTCCTTCCTTCACTGATTCAACCCCAAAACCACACTCTCTTCTTCCTTTAGAAGTCAGGGATTGAAGGACTTGATTTCAAAACCGCGCACGTCTCAGTGACTCAAGTGAGGGGTTTGTTCCGCTGCCACACTTCCGTTCACAAATGCTCCAGCTTGGGGAGGAGGGAGAAATCCCTGTTAATCTAGTGAATCTGGCTCTCTCGCTCTCTTTTGTTCACTGTTGCTGAGATCCTGATGCATTGATCTCCAGGAGGAGGGGGCTGGGTGGGGAGGTCACTGTAGGGCGCGGGGGTTTGGATGAATCGTGAGGGGAGGTTGCCGTAAAGGAGTCTCGCATCCGGCTGTCTGCGCGATCTGTTGTCAAAACAAGGCTGTCCTTATTCACTGAAGAGATTACAGGTGATTGACAGTCGGCGCCGACCTGTGGTCCGTCCTCACCGTGAGACGTGACACCGTTGACATAAACAAATCCTGAACTGGACTAAAGGGGGGAAAAAAAAGAAGTTGTTCTAACTTCAGTGTGATGCTTCTCGTCTTGTCACGTGTGCCCCACACACCAGCATCAAGATGGAGCTATTTTTATTGGAAGAAATTCAGGACAACAATGGGTCACGCTGCTATATTTAGCAGGTAATTTGCTGCTCTAATTGCACTGTAGCTAAATACAGGATATAATGCAGATGACTTAGATATAAATTTAGCACATACAAAAAAAGACAAACTCTCCTACAGTGGCACCTGCACCATCACCTGCAGTGCTACTCCATCACACACACTTTCATGTATTATTTGAATATTGTATTTCAGCTTGTGTTCAGGCTTCCATGTAGGAACACTACATCACTACATGGCCCGGACCAGCGGTGTTACCGGGTGGGGGGGAGGCGGGTGCTTGTTTTGTTGATCTGTGTTTAATGAAAGTGACCACGGACGGAGCAGATTTGGCTATTAGCTCAGCGAGAGCCTGTAATCACTACAAGTTGTTTCCCTTTTTTTCCATGCGGTTCATTATTGAACGAACAATCTATGGGGAGAAAGGCGCTCGTATCTGCCATCTTCTTTCTCCCTCGTTTTATTTCCCTCTGCAAGGCTGCACTTTGGAAAGTATTGATTTGGTGGCTTGAAAATAACAAACCGACAACTGTGCGAGTCGGTAATAAACAGCCTCAGAAGAAGAGAAGAGAAAAAAAAAAAAAAAACGTGTATAAAAGCACCCATGAAGTGTGTGTGCCCTGAAGTAATTATTACCTACTGTATGTGCTCAGGTTTAGTCTGCCAGAGCTGATGCGTTTACTGTTGTGTGCCACCGTCAGCTTGTTGAATAGAAATAAGAAGCATCTGGATTGTACGTGGTGAGCGTATGGCAGGGATGCTCAGGGCTTTGTCACTGTTGTGCACACACTTGACTATATTTGGTGGCGGAGTTGGGTTTAAAATACATCTGACTGCCCAGCAGAGTGAGTGTGACTCATCCCAAAGACCTTGTCTAACTCTGCGCTCACACTGATGGCACAGCATGCACTCACATGAAAGCGACGTATCGTGCTCCTATGCATGCGCACATACTTGCGATTTGCACCGGCAATGCATCCCCCGGAAACCCCCCCATTATCTTCTTATGATCTTCTTTTCCAAGTAGTTTCTAAACCGATAAACAGATGCACAGACACACACTAAATATAAAGTTCCCGTCACTCATTCACATAAATACACAGAGACTCACCAGACTCCTGCCCGTCTGTTTCTATTAATGGTAATCAGCAGGGTAATGATGACGGAGCTGTGACTGCGGCTTACTTACTGGTGGCTGATGGCCATGCTCTCTGACAGCTGTCAGCCGCCACCACTACTCTGCCAGGGCCCTCCTTAGGACTTATTTCAGCTCAGTACATCAGCTGCAACAGCACTTCACACACAGACTTGTTGATTATCAGCATCATCGGGCCGGCGTGGAAAGACTTCTCTGACCGCCTGTCTGCTAATGACAGCCACCATGATGGTGGATGGGAGAAAGAGGACACAGCCTGTCACTTTGATTCATGCAACAGCAGCTCCAACTGGGTGGCTCCTCGCCAAAGTCTCGACAGTCGTTATATCCCCTCCTAAATGACATTTAAAGTGTGAAGCAATGGCTGTCCTTGTGGCTCAGTCACCCCGGGCCGGGCCCCGGACATGAGCGCTGAACCCTTTGCCAAGTTTTGCAGCGAGGTTGCAAACCCTGGAGGAAAGTCTCCTCACTCAGATGCTCTAACTCAACTCGCTGGAATGATTGAACGAGCGGAAAGTGACCTTGAAGACAGATGCCGTCGATGATCTGATGTAGTGACTTTCCCTTTTTTTTCCCGCAGCCCTTCATATTTCCTTTGTTTCTTCTGCTTTCTCTGCTGCATTCTCAGCCACTACCCTGTTTCTTTCTAATTAGTTTATTTCATTTCAGTGGCAACTGTCTTCAATTATGTATATTTTGAAAGCTTACAGGATAATTCCATTTTATGTAAGCCTGCTGTAATTCCCATAAATGCTATTGTGACTCAGTGGGTCACACTGCGCCTTCTTCAAAAGTTCTTGGAATTCAGGGAAACAACAACTTGCACAAAACAATACATCACGGAAAGGAGTGCATCTACTGCAGCTTTGCAAATGAGCAGGAAGTTCTTGTTTCCAAAGCTTTTCACCGAGTCTAACCTTTTGCATTGACCGTTATGGTTAATGGTAACTTACAGATATTTAGAGAAGAGGGGGAAATAAATACGATGCTTTTTCTATCACACAAGACCTCGATCATAAAACATACGGTGCTGCAAATGCAGAATCGTAGTTCGATGGTGCATCATTTTGCATAGCTTGTCAGCGAACCCATTTTCGAGCTGAAAATAAAAGAAATCAAAGAAATTCATCAGCGCATGATAAAGTGTATTTCCGTTGCAATATATTCTTACCCGTGTAGCACTATATCAATCTAAAAGTGCTTAGTTAAAGTAAGCAGACTCTAAAGCTGCATAATGTGGAAGAAAACCAGATCTATCACGGAGCACTTTGTCAGCTTCATCCAGTATTTCTCTGTTTCTTTCTTTCTTTCTTTCCAGGTATATTGTAAAGCTTTCTTTGGTAGCGTATTATGTGGTGTATTTTTGGGCTGAAAACATTGCTACCAAAACCCTGAAGACCTCAGACTCATACGCTGGAAAAATAGAAATATGACCCCCTCTAATTTATCCTTGCACCGGCTCACTTTATGAATCAATATTTTTAGATCTACCTGGAGAAACAGATTTTGTTTTTTTTCACATTCATGCCTTTCATTAGAAAATAAATAAATAAAAATGTGATTTGCTTCAATTTTTATTTACTATTTCATGTATTATTGTGCACAGCTAAGACACACATTAACAACTCCCTCCATACTTCTGTCCACAGTCTATCCGGGAGGTGACGGGCTACGTGTTGGTGGCTCTGAACCAGTTCGACTACCTGCCTTTGGAGAACCTGAGGATCATCCGAGGGACGAAGCTGTACGAGGACCGCTACTCCCTCGCCATCTTCCTCAACTACAGACGCGACGGAAACTTCGGCCTGCGCCAGTTGGGTCTGAAGAACCTCACAGGCAAGCGGCAGAATTAATTTGTGGTTAACTCGGATTTGTCTGCGCTCCGTCTCGTTGTGGGTATTTGTTCGTATAGTTTCCGCGCTGGGCACGCTGCCCGGAGCGAGCGGCTTCAAATCTCACATGTAATGGTATAATTCAGAGTTGAAGTCGGAAGCAGAAAGCGATGGCAATCTGCTGCTGCTGCGAGTCGTAATGAAATGAGAACAGAAGGTGCTATATTTAATGTTAATGATTACAAAAGGTTCTGCTGCTACATCTCGCTGTGATCCGATCCCCTTGTCGAATGCGTCTTAACTGTTAAACTGTTTGAACCAACAATATTTCTGTTGCCGAGCACAGAGGTAAAATCCTGAATCCCCTCCTTTTTTTTTTATCAAATACTGTTGACTGGCAACAAGTATTAGCATCAATTCTCATTCATTTCGTTTAGAAATTCCCCAGTATCACGAAGAAAGGCATTCCAGGTGCTCCGCAAAAGCATGCACAAACATAGAGCCGCGATGAGAAATAGGTTGCACAGTTGAATAAATAAATTACCCCAATGTGCTGCTAGTTGTTTACTGGCTTCTGTCACCTTCACACAAGATGGGAATATGCAGACGGTCTCCCTTTTTCTTCTTCTCCCAAGAATACGACTGGTGCTGTTAACACAATTAACCCTCTCGCATTAAGGGATATGATGCTGACTCACAATGTTGTGAAAAGACTTTATCTCTTCTGCAATTTCCAATATCGCCTCACACACACACACACACACACACACACACACACACACACAAAAAGAAGAAGAGTATTCTCGTCTGATTTACAACCCACTCGGCAAAACGACCCAAGCCTGTTTCCTCAGAAGTGGGAGAAGATAGTGAATGTGATTGCTGATAAATAGCGCGCTAAGGAGGAAAACATAGTGTGTAGGCGGCTCTGCCTCTTTTTGAACAATGGATCCTTGTGCTGCTGGGTTTTCTCGAGGAGCCGTGACCCCGAGGTCCGTACGAGATGAGGCTCTTGACTGGCAAAAAAGATGTAGAGCTTCTCCACGACAGGTCCAAGTGCGATATGTCAGGGACGGCTCGTGATTTGTGGAGCGCGAGACCAAAGGTGTCATTTACTCATTTTGAAGGTAAATCCAACCTTACAAGTTTTGTAAGTACAGATGGAAGGAGAAGCAACTTGTGTGGAGGTGTTATCAGTCCCGGGCGGTATTTATTTCCTTAAACACGATAAGGACGATGACAAATATTCCTAATTGTTTTGATAAGACGGAGAAATGAGCCACTTCACTAATGGAAGATCCTATTCAGTGACCTGCAGCGTCTGTGGAAATGTATTTATGATTTAAACACAAATTAGTAAAATTAGACAAGAAGCAGAGAAAACTACACACATGCAGACATTTTTTAAGCTTAACACTGGTGATGTAACGTTTAAGTTACTTTCCATCCAGTTTCTTTCATGTTGCTGTCAGAGCGAATGGGATTAACGACAGATCTCCGTCTAAGTCGTCCTCTAAATGTTCGCCAAAGAAAGATAACTGTATTGATGTCGTCCAACAGCACACAACGTGTAGCTGTGCTAATGCTAATGCTAGTTGAGCGGGGTGAAACGAGAACAATGAGGAAGCGTCGGCAGTAACTGGATGTAATGACGAGTCCATCTGTTGCGTCTCTGTGGAGCGGCGGGATGCGGACGCCGAGCCTTTTCCCGCTAACCTTGTGATGCAGGAGAACGTGGTGATCGTACACAAAGATGGCATCAAAATGCTAAGAAGATACAGGAATTAAAAGATCTGGCAAAAAATGACAACAACAAGACAGAAATTGTGCGGACTTAAACTAACAAACATCAAATGGGTAAAATTTGATTAAATAAAGACCAAAACTAAATCAACATCTGATGCCTAAATTAACACTGATCCCAACCAACTGTCCCGAGATGAATACGTTGTTGTTGTTTTGTTGGGTTTTTTTCTAATCTTTTGCCCTCTGAGCAATCGCGGTAGAAAATACTCCTATATCCACTTATTATCTTTTACACATTGCATGCATGGGAAATGAGCTATGAATGATTTATTAGTTGGCACAACCGACGTGTCCCCGCGTTGATGAGGAATGTTGGTAAAATGTATTTGGAATTGGTTTTTACTGATTATTTCTCTGTGGGAACGGCAGGCTGTGACTCGTGACCCACAGCACGCTTAAGTCTGTTTCCAGCCAGTCGAATGTTTTAGGAGCAATATATATTAAAAATCACAAGCTCGACGTAAAGAGTGTGGAGGAGACACGAGAAGGACGACGTCTTCAGCTCGACGCCAGACATGCGAAAGCCCTCCGCATTTCCAACAATTTATTTTGTGTCTAGATTTTATTTAGATTGGTTTGGAAGAAGCACGGCACTGAGACTGTGTTTCCACCTCTTCCAAACCCTCTTTTTAAATAATTCAGTCGTCTCTCATTGTTCTCCTCAACTGTTCCTTCCTGGTGATTCCCCCGAGTGGAGGGAAGCAACGCAGCCATCAGTCTGGATGTGCAGCTCCAGCTTCTGCTTGTGTGTGTGTTACGCTCCGGCTTCTTATTCTTTCTCGCGAGTTGCGCCATACTTAGGGAATTTCATTTGTCCGGCACCACTAGCAGCATTTTTTTTTTTTTGCCAAGCCAGTCCTTTTCATTGGTGGTGCCAAGTTGAAGCCAGTGCTGAGGGAGCTGGGGCTGGACTCTGTGACATGCTGCTGTTTGATGTGCCATCCGTGGCCTCGAGCCATGAAGTGGATGGGGGAAGTTATGCACAACAGCCAAGGTCTGAAGCTACTCCACATCATAAGTCTGATTTTTTTCCAGTAGTTTTTTGTTGTTTTTTTTGTTCCACTCACAAATATAATAAAAAGAGAATCTGCTCTTGTTAATGAAAATAACATATTTGTCTTGTTGTAATGCGATTCTTTCATGTTTGGAGGTTTTGATGTTATTACAGCAGACAAACTAGAAGTGTTTTGTAGTTTAATGGTTCTTAGTAAGAATCATAAAGAACTGTCTCACGGGACGAGAGGCGATACGGCCTCTACAGAGTCCTCATCGCCATCGAGTCGGTCCAGGATGCTTGGAGCAGCGTGCCGGCTACCTAAAACAAACTGGTGCCGCCAAATACTGGCATAATTAAACAAATACAAATAGTGCTTCATAACACTTTCCCTTAAGCTGTTAAGTGTCCTCACATGACTTTCTTTCTGTGACTAAAACTTTTGCACACCACTCTAAATGCATAACAAGTTTGGGTAGACACAGCTGTTCAGAATCAGGTCCAAAACTGTGGACCCGTGAAAACCTTTAAACTTGCTTATCTCTTCATAACAAGAATCTTGTCTCGGAGGGTCTATCATATCACTACTTTTTGCACAGATGGACCTGACAGTTAAACAAGCTCTAGCTAGGGGGGGGAAGCGTAGAGAGACAAGCCACACTTGTGTCCCAGTTTGGTCCGTTGCAGTTGTCATCATTCTGCTGAGGAAGGGAAATAAGCCCGAACCATCAGGATAGATCCACTCCTGTACATCAAGCGGCGCAGATCAAACTCTTTCCTTCCTCCGAGTGCTTTAGCGAGTCCACGGCTGGCTGTCTCGTTCATTACGGGGGGCTTTGATGTTGCTGTCATATTAGTCCATCGTTCCTCTGCCAGTAGCTCCCAGGAGGAGTGTAAAATGATCAATATAATCCATAAGCAACACATATAAGAGGATAAAACTTATTAACTACATCAGGGGCTAATCGAGAGGAGGCGCAGTAAGAGACCCCTTCAGTGCTGAAACCCACACGCGCTCCTGCTCGGGTCGAAATTGCCTCGGGATGAAATCAATTTGTCGCCAGTATATTGTAGCATTGCACTTATTGATTTTGCTGGTGCACTCTCTGCAAGCTGTGAATGGACTCTCTGGATTTGAGGGGACTGGAGGATGGGGTGGAGGAGGTCTCTGGCTGAGCAGGGATAGGACTCCCTCTGATGCACCTTTCAATCAAGCTTAGCTAAGTTATCCTCATGAATATGAAATATAAGGCACAGTCAAGCTGGGAAAAGTTGAGGGATTGTGTGTGTGTGTGCACAAGGGTGTATAGAATAAGAAATATAAAAGACACTCTGCCCGAGTGGGGAAAGTTCAGCCGTGTTGTTTGTTTGACATTGCTTTCCAGGGAGAAAAAGAAACTGTTTTAAAAGTGACAGCGTGGACTCACCTTCCATGTGAAGACAAAAAGACTATCTATTTTTCAGACTTTTTGGGTGTGTGAGTGACCCCTCTGATTGCTGCAAGGAGAAGCTTCAAATAAATGCTTCCTTCTGCTTTTTCGCCGTACATCCAAGCGAGATAAAGGTTAAACAGAGCTGCCTCCTGACATTTTCAAAGTTCCCAATCTGTATTTTGACGCGCGCTGACCCGCCGTGTCTTCCTTCTTGCTTAGGCAAACATTTACAGCACTTCTGTCTGGATTCACATGAACCCTGGGCAGCCTCTGTGCTTTCACATGGTAATTACAGCCTGCTTCCCTGGCAAAATAATAACAGCCTCAATAAGGAGCACAACACAGATGAGCTTTCTGATTTAACGCGTTTTTGCTGCCACCCCCTCCCTTTGCCTCATTTCTTCCAGTATCTATTTTTTTTCAGATTTGTTTAGTGTTGTTGATTCATTTTTCTAACCACCCTACGCCTGCACTGCGTCTGTCCAAAATGAAGCATCCAATCTGAGGCCCCATCTGCTGAATGATCCTCTCTCATCGCATGCATGTACACAAGCCTGTGTTTTACGCCAAGGCGTTATCCACTCCTTCATGGCCCATCTGCTCTCTCTTTATCTATCCCATTTGCTGTCGTTCCTCCATCTCTTTATCCCTCTTTCTTTTGGCTCTTTGTCGGTCATCATATTTCAGTTGGCTGTCTTGATTTGTCACATTGATGCCTTTCACACAAACACACACAATGTCATGTTTGTAGCACTTTGTACTGTATGCGAA